TTATGTAAAAAGTTCTTCGTTACATACAATAATACAAAAATTTATAGGTATGTATGTGTGAAGATAATTATTTGTTTCTGGGATCACGTCTTGGTAACTCATTGTTATTAAGATTTACAGAAAAAGAACCAGAAAATTTACAAAATATAAATGACAATGAAATAATTCTTGAAGAAAATGAAACTGAAGAAACTCCAGCAAAAAAAATAAAACAAGATTTCATAGGAGATTGGATGGCATCAGATGTATTAGACATAAAAGACCCAGAGGAATTAGAGGTATATGGAAGTGAAACACATACTTCCATTCAGATAACATCATATATATTTGAGGTATTTTTGCACATTACAATTAACTATCAATAAAAAATAATAAAATAATTATTATTGATATACATTTAAATTTTTGTAGGTATGTGATAGTTTGTTGAACATTGGACCATGTGGTAATATATCTATGGGTGAACCAGCTTTTCTATCAGAAGAATTTTCACACAGTCTTGATCCTGATGTTGAACTTGTTACAACTTCTGGATATGGTAAAAATGGAGCACTTTGTGTTCTTCAACGTTCTGTCCGACCACAAGTAAGTAATTGTTTTACGTTTCAAATACTTTGTACATTATTTAAATTAGAATATTTTATAACAATTAATAAAAATATTCTTTGATTTTAAAATAGGTTGTAACTACATTCGAATTACCAGGATGCGAAGATATGTGGACTGTTATTGGTACATTAAATAATGATGAGCAAGTACGACCTGAAGCCGAAGGAAGTCATGCTTTTTTGATTTTAAGTCAAGAAGATTCAACAATGGTACTGTTCCTTTTTTAAAGCTATCATATTTTTGTTTTTAAGTACAGCATATATTATTTAATATTATAATGAGTTTAGATATTACAAACTGGTCAAGAAATTAATGAAGTAGATCAAAGTGGGTTTAGCACACAAGGGAGTACAGTGTTTGCTGGAAATCTTGGTGCAAATAGATACATAGTTCAAGTTACTCAAATGGGTGTACGTCTTTTGCAAGGAATTGAACAGGTACATATAATCTTACTATAATATATATTTAAATAAAAATATAAATATTTGTATCACAATTATAGATCCAACACATGCCTATAGATCTTGGATGTCCAATTGTACATGCAAGTTGTGCAGATCCTTATGTAACATTACTTTCTGAAGATGGACAAGTTATGTTATTGACGCTTAGAGAAGGACGTGGAACAGCAAGATTACATGCTCAAGCAGCTAACTTATTATTCGTGAGTTCATAATATAATTTATAATATTATTATTTATTATTGCATTATAATTTAATGTTCAGTTAATTATTTTATTTCACACAAATTATAGCGTCCTCAAATAGAAGCACTATGTGCTTATAGAGACGTTAGCGGAATATTTATAACACAGTTACCCGAAAATGTAGAAGATGAAGTACCTGAAGAAGAACATAATATAGAAGAACCACCTATTGTTGGTAATATTGATAATGAAGATGATTTACTTTATGGCGATGCACCAGCTTTTCAAATGCCTACACCATCACATACTAAATCAATTGAAGGGATATCTAAAAGAACTCCTTGGTAAATTTTGTTCCTTCAGAGACATATATATTTAAAATATTTAATTATTTTGTATATGTTAAAATTATTTTCCTTTTGTTATTAAACTATAAGATTTAAATGTTTTTGATAGGTGGCAAAAACATTTACAAGAGATAAAACCAACATATTGGTTACTAGTATATAGAGATAGTGGAACATTAGAAATTTATTCTCTTCCTGATTTACGCTTATCCTACCTCATTCGTAATTTTGGATATGGACAATATGTATTACATGATAGCATGGAATCTACAACATTACAAACAACACCTGTTAATGAAATTCCTAATCCTGAAATGCAGGTATCATAAATAAGCTAACTAAACTTAGTCTTGTATACAATACTAATAGAGAATTAACAAACTAACAACTATTGACATATTACTATGTCTTTCTATGATTAAAATAAAAGGTCTATTAATATTAACAAATAAAAGAAATTGTACGTGATATTTGCAAGCAAATTTTTCAATTTCTATCCTTGTTTTATTCAAAATTCCTTGAGGCCTTTTACTTTAGAATCTCAGTAAAATTATCATTCACAAATATGTCAAGCAGTTCAATAATATTAACTAAAAAATTAATATATTATCAGGTACGCGAAATTTTAATGGTAGCATTGGGTCATCATGGAAACAGGCCAATGTTGTTAGTTCGACTTGATTCTGAACTTCAGATTTATCAAGCATATAGATATCCAAAGGGTCATTTAAAATTAAGATTTAAAAAATTAGATCATGGCATAATCCCAGGACATTTAAGGTATCTATTCTTCTTGAATTGTAATGTTCTAGTTTTTGTAATTTCTAATTATTTTTTTTTTTTTATAGACCAAAACCAAGAGATGAAGATATGCCTGTAATGAATGAAACTCGACATTGCATGATGCGTTATTTTAGTAATATTGCTGGATATAATGGTGTATTTATTTGTAGTGATTATCCTCATTGGATATTTCTCACAGGACGCGGCGAACTACGTACTCATCCAATGGGTATTGATGGTCCTGTTACGTCATTTGCTCCTTTTAATAATATAAATTGTCCACAAGGGTTTTTATATTTTAACAGAAAGGTAGTACCATCTTTTATATCAGTATTTTACTTTCTTTTTGTTACGATTCTGTTATGTGTGTATTCCGAATTATTAAAATTAACTTAAAATACTAATTTCATTATACAAAATTGTATATTTTATGTTTCAATTTTAGGAAGAATTAAGGATATGTGTTTTACCAACTCATTTATCATATGATGCTCCATGGCCTGTTAGGAAAGTACCATTACGATGTACACCGCATTTTGTTACATATCATCTCGAAAGTAAAACTTATTGTGTCATAACGAGTATAGCTGAACCACTTAAAAGTTATTATAGATTTAATGGTGAAGATAAGGTATGAGTAAAAACATGTGAGATTATATGAGTTATTAAAATAAAAATAATGATTTTATTATTATATTTTTAGGAGTTTACAGAAGAAGAGCGACCAGATAGATTTATTTATCCTTCACAGGAACAATTTTCGATAGTGTTATTTTCACCTGTTTCATGGGAAACTATCCCTAATACTAAAATTGAACTTGATCAGTGGGAACATGTAACTTGTTTAAAGAATGTTTCTTTGGCTTATGAAGGCACTCGATCTGGTTTAAAAGGTTACATAGTATTAGGAACAAATTATAATTATGGTGAAGATATTACAAGCAGGGGAAGGGTGAATTTTATTTTTATATTAAATTATATTAAATATTAGATTTGATTTTATTTAAAGATTTATTTTGTAGATACTTATATTTGATATAATTGAGGTTGTACCTGAACCTGGACAACCATTAACAAAAAACAGATTCAAACAAATTTATGCAAAAGAGCAAAAAGGCCCAATAACTGCTATTACACAAGTATCTGGCTTTCTAGTCTCAGCAGTTGGTCAAAAAATTTATATTTGGCAATTGAAAGATAATGATCTTGTTGGAGTTGCTTTTATAGATACACAAATTTACATTCATCAAATGTTAAGTATTAAAAGCTTAATTTTAATAGCTGATGTATATAAATCTATTAGCTTATTAAGATTTCAAGAAGAATACAGAACATTATCTCTTGTTAGTAGAGTGAGTAAAAATTTTCTTGTAATTTTATGTTTTTATAATAGGTAAATTTTTAAAGGAACATATGTTTTTCAGGATTTCAGGCCCGCTGAAGTTTATACTATTGAATATTTAATTGACAATACTAATTTAGGATTTCTTGTAGCTGATGGTGAAAGTAATATAGCTTTATTTATGTATCAACCAGAATCACGAGAAAGTCTTGGAGGACAAAAATTAATAAGGAAAGCTGATTTTCATCTTGGACAAAAAGTAAATACATTTTTCCGCATAAGGTGTAGAATTTCGGATCCCGCAAATGATAAAAAGCATTTTTTTGGTGCAGATAAAAGACATGTTACCATGTACGGTAAGTTCGATTTAAAACAAAACAATAAACATGAAGAAATATTTAACCATATTTATAATAATTTTATTTTATTAGCATCACTTGACGGTAGTCTTGGTTATATTCTACCCGTACCAGAAAAAACATATCGAAGATTACTCATGTTACAAAATGTTTTAGTAACACACATTTGTCACATTGCTGGTTTAAATCCCAAAGCTTATCGGTAATTATTATATTAAGATGTAAGTAATAAATGTTTCTTTATAATTTGTTATTCTTTTCTTTTTTAGTACTTATAAAAGTCACATTCGAACTCAAGGTAATCCTGCAAGGGGTATAATTGATGGTGATTTAGTTTGGCGTTATCTCTATTTACCTAATAATGAAAAAGTAGATGTGGCAAAGAAGATTGGAACACGTGTACAAGAAATAATAGAAGATTTAACAGAAATAGATCGACAAACGGCTCATTTTTAAACTAGTGCCTTTAATCATTCCAAACAATAAATACATTTTAAAAATACTTCTGCCTGGTTTTTAAATAACGAAGTATTATTGAAATATTTAACTGAGGAAATATCTTTTCTATATATATTAAATAAAAATAATTACTTGTAGTTATAATTTTTAGGAAATGTAATATTTTTAGGAATATATTAAGGAGTTTCTTATAATTGGAATTCTAAAATATAAATGTAAACAAGTATAAGTAATGTGAATGTGTGTATATCAAGTAGGATGAATTTGTACAAATGAAAAATGTATTATTGACTTTTTAATTTGCTAAATTCACAAGTTATTTTCTGTTACATAAACATATACAACATTAATCTAACTAATAAATTTTTACAAAGACTGAAAGTTTAACACTTTATTATTGCTTATAAGTCGCTATACTAATAAAACGAATTTAAATACAAATTTAAAATATATAATGGAATCTCCAGAACATGAACTTAAAACTTTTCCAAGTCGAACATCTATTAGACAAAGCATTGCTATAAGACGATTAACAAGAATTGAGTCCGCACGATGTATGTATTATTTATGTATACATAAAATATTATAGATAACATAGAGCATATCTATTATTGTAGCATAAATTAAAAATGACTTTATTATCAAGAAGATTGATCTCATATAAAAACTTATGTACATATATACTTTACCATGGGTATTGATCAAACAATTATAAATAGCTAATTTCATGATACTGGTACATTAATAATATACTGTTCAATATATAATCTTTGTATAACATAAGAGATACATGTCACAGTGTAATATTATATTATATAATTACATTTATTATTTAATTTGAATTGTATGTTATATATTTTTATAATGTATCATATTTAATCTTTGTGCAGTGACAATTTCAGAATCATCTTTGTTAGAAAAAAGACTATGTGAAATATTTGATGTATTTGATACTGCGAATACCAATGAAATAGACGTTACAGACTTGGGAACGATTATTAGGGCATTAGGATGTGTTATTACTGAAGCAGAATTGCAAGAAATACAAGTTGAAGTGGAAGATGTAGTAAATAATTGTGTTCCATTAAATAAGTTCCTTGAATATATGTGTAAAGCTATTAATGAACGCAGGTAAGTTTCTTATAAACTTGAGCTTCGTTAAAGAATAAAACTCACGACATTTGCAACACATAAGTATCTATATAAAATTTGTTTATTTAAATTTTTTAATTTTTCATTTTTATTTAGATTTAAACCAGCAGAACCAGAAGATTTATTAAAAGCATTCCAATTATTAGATCCTGAAAAACGAGGATATATTATGCGTAAAGATTTAGAAAAAGTAATGATGGAAGTCGGAGAACCATTTACAAAAGAAGAAATAAATAACATGATGGTTATTGCATGCGATCCAGAAACAAGAAGAATTAATTATGAACATTATATTAACTTACTGCTTGTATGTATTCATATATTTTTATATTTTTACATTTATAGTTACTTTTTATCACAAAATAATTATGATAAGAATTAATTGAAATTAATTGAATAACGAAATTGAAATTAAAATATATAGAATGTTTTTGTACATCATTTACAGGTAAAAATACCTGATAAAATTAATGTATATTCTATTGTTGATGCAATGGATGCTGCTAAATTAAAAGCCATGCCTAAAAAGCGTAGATTAGAAAGCCTTCTATTAAGTTATCAGACACCTGTTTAATATCAGTTTTATAGTGCATTGAATAAATAATTTATTAAAGAAAATTAATCAACAAAAAATATGTTAGTATTAAAATAATTGTAAAAATATTAAAAATATTTATTATATCCTTTTAAAAATAACATGTTTCAACTTCACCTTACATATATGTATCATAAAATTTAAATTTCACAATTTAGAAAATATTGGTGGATCATTTTTGGTAGCTTCTGACACAGCTGCATTTGCAAAATCTTCACTTAAAAGCATACTTTGATTATGCATAGCCTATTAAAACATGATTTAAAATAGATGTATAAATATGAGTATAAAATTGTTATTACAGGTAGAAAAATATTGAAACTTACAATATGGTCCAGACCCTCTTGAACAGAATGATCTCTTGAATAAATTAAGCTTAATTTTGAACCCTGTACTGCAACTGGACTTTTATTTGCTATATTTTCTGCAAGTGCCATTGAACTATTCAATAAACTAAAAGGAAGACAACATAATTTTAATTTATATAATTTATCTTCAAAAATAGGAACAATCAAGGTATCATTATTTTATTATTTATACAAAACAGAAAAATGTATTTTACCTCTCTTGATTATCAAATGAACGACTCACAAAACCTTGTTGTACAGCTTCGGTAGCTGTAAATTTTCTTCCAGTGTATACTAATTCTCTAACTAAACTGTCAGAACCTATAATTTTTGGAAATCTTTGCAATGTGCCAACATCAGCAGCCATACCAAAAGCAACTTCTTTTATTTGAAACCATGCATCTGAAGAACAATAACGAATATCTGCTGCAGATATCATGTCCACACCAGCTCCAATGCAGGGACCATGAACAGCTGCAATTACTGGCTTTAGACACTAAAAGGTAATTTTAAAAAAAATGTGAAAGGAAAATAATGAGAAATGTTATATAATAAATAGTTTAGAATGAATTTATATAAAGTTGATATTATATTTAATAAAAGTTATAATATGCAACCTTCTCTATTGCAGTAAAGCTCTCTTGATAATCTTTTATTTTTAATTGTAAAATCTTGCTTTTTCGTGCAACATCTTCATGTTCTACTAATTGTTGCCCTAATTTCATTAGATCTTGTACATCAATACCTACAATATTTATTTAACATTAAATACTTTTTTACCATATAGGATATTCATGAAATAAAATATGTTATACCTGCACAAAATGTTTTACCAGCACCGCAGAGAATTATTACTCTACATTCTGGATCTATAGCTAGTTCATTGAAGCAAATTTTACATTCTCTATACAATCATAAAATTAAATGTTTCAAATATTAAATATAATATGAAATAAAATTAAAACAAATAAATACCTCCACATAGTATCATTTAGTGCATTAAGTTTTTCAGGTCTGTTTAATTGTACTATATAAATAAATTCTTTTGGTACAGATATTGTTAATGTCTTGTAATTATTATAATTTTTGACATCAGAATAATTCATCTTACAAGTATATTGCATTTCTAAAAAAGTGACATATCATTCTTATGGAAACAATTATTAAGTATAATTCAATTGATTAAAAAATAATAAAATAAAATTATAGTTTACAAATGCATACATTAAAAATTTGATTTTAATAAAATATTTTAATATATTATATAATGAAAATAGAATTTCAACAATCTCTTACGTGTTTTTGCGATATTTTTTAAACATTTACGTATCATATTTAAAGCCATATTGAAAATGGAAAATTATAATAAAAAAAAATGAAAATGATAATTATTTAGTTACATTAAATATTTAACTATTAATTTTATATTTAATGCTTTTAATTTAATATTTAATGTTTTTAAAGATTTAACGTGAAATTTAAACATGAAATTTAATATCACTTAATATTATGACGTCATTGTTAATGGTTATTTTTTATTTGATAAAATTATAAATTTTATAATTTTAATAAAGTTACATTTAATAAAGTTATATTAATTTTATATACATATTTATTCAGTCTAGTAGTTTAGTTATATCTAGTTCCTTAGTTAATTAGTATTTTTCTAATAAAACGGTTCACCTAATATTGTAACAACTAATTTTATAATACGTTGTACTAACTCAACATAACGTAAACAACAAGAAAAGAAACTGAAAGTAAAGTAAAATATGTTAAAAATTATTTCTTATTTATTAAAAAAGGTTAAATATTGTATAACAAGTTTGAAAAATTCAAAAATTGTTGTTCACATTATAAAGAACTGTTTTCAATGAACTATGAAAACAGAAATATAAGAATACAGTAACTTATTGATAATTACTTTATAGTATTGTAAATAATTTTCTAATATTGTAAATATAATGGTATTTTATGAATTTTTAACTATAGAGTACATAGAAACTAATAATTAATTTAGTTATCTCTAGAAAAGATATTACTTGACTATCTATCGAATTCCATAACAATAGTGTGTAGCTAACTTCATGAAGTTTTACTACATATTGTAGGTCGACCTGTGAGGTGTTGCAGAAGACAAGATGTTGTCGAGATTAAGTTTTCGTAACAGTAAGATAAATTCTAAATAAAATAAATTGTACTTATAATATTGTAAACATTTTATACATTATTAATCATATATTATTCTGATATCATATTTCTGTTATCGACAAATTTATATTGATTAACTTCACTGTCATTATGTAATAATGTAATATCACTTTTATGGTATTTTGATTTTAAAATATAATTATATAAATTTATTTATTATAATAATAACAACTTATGTAATATTTTTAAGCTAAATTATAAAATAAATTTATATTTAACAGTCTAAATTATAATTACTTTTTTAGTTAATGTAAAATTTTAAATAGTAAATAAGAAATGTTTCTGAATTTTCCCATTATTGTAATTTATTTCATAGTTTCTTCGCAAGTGAAGGCTATAGGCACTTGTGGAATTCAAACAACGGCAGTAACATCATCTGATGGACCACGTCCAAAACGTCCTGTAGAGGCATCACCAGTTAGGATGGGATTTATTCCAGATGATTTTATTTGATAAAATTATAAATTTTATAATTTTAATAAAGTTACATTTAATAAAGTTATATTAATTTTATATACATATTTATTCAGTCTAGTAGTTTAGTTATATCTAGTTCCTTAGTTAATTAGTATTTTTCTAATAAAACGGTTCACCTAATATTGTAACAACTAATTTTATAATACGTTGTACTAACTCAACATAACGTAAACAACAAGAAAAGAAACTGAAAGTAAAGTAAAATATGTTAAAAATTATTTCTTATTTATTAAAAAAGGTTAAATATTGTATAACAAGTTTGAAAAATTCAAAAATTGTTGTTCACATTATAAAGAACTGTTTTCAATGAACTATGAAAACAGAAATATAAGAATACAGTAACTTATTGATAATTACTTTATAGTATTGTAAATAATTTTCTAATATTGTAAATATAATGGTATTTTATGAATTTTTAACTATAGAGTACATAGAAACTAATAATTAATTTAGTTATCTCTAGAAAAGATATTACTTGACTATCTATCGAATTCCATAACAATAGTGTGTAGCTAACTTCATGAAGTTTTACTACATATTGTAGGTCGACCTGTGAGGTGTTGCAGAAGACAAGATGTTGTCGAGATTAAGTTTTCGTAACAGTAAGATAAATTCTAAATAAAATAAATTGTACTTATAATATTGTAAACATTTTATACATTATTAATCATATATTATTCTGATATCATATTTCTGTTATCGACAAATTTATATTGATTAACTTCACTGTCATTATGTAATAATGTAATATCACTTTTATGGTATTTTGATTTTAAAATATAATTATATAAATTTATTTATTATAATAATAACAATTTATGTAATATTTTTAAGCTAAATTATAAAATAAATTTATATTTAACAGTCTAAATTATAATTACTTTTTTAGTTAATGTAAAATTTTAAATAGTAAATAAGAAATGTTTCTGAATTTTCCCATTATTGTAATTTATTTCATAGTTTCTTCGCAAGTGAAGGCTATAGGCACTTGTGGAATTCAAACAACGGCAGTAACATCATCTGATGGACCACGTCCAAAACGTCCTGTAGAGGCATCACCAGTTAGGATGGGATTTATTCCAGATGAATGGTTTCAATTTTTCTATCCTAAAACTGGGGCATCAGGTAAGTTGATAACTTTTTAATATACTCATTTATTTTTTTATTGTAATATATAATTTTTAACTATTCATAAAATGTAATTTTTATGTTTAGGTCCATATGTATTTTTAACAACTGTTTCAACATACTTATTATCTAAGGAATGGTATGTTTTGGAACATGAATATTATGGTGGACTTTCATTACTTTCTATTATTCTATATGTACATTTCAAATTTGGAGACAAAATTTCAGCATATTTCACTAAAGAAATTGATATGGTAGAGGAGAGCCTTAATAATAGTAAAAATGAATCTATAGCTGAACATCAGGATGCAATTGATAGTATGGAAAGAGAAAAGTGGCGAACTGATGCACAACTAATGATTTATGATATAAGAAAACAAAATATTTGGATGCAGTTAGAAGCTTGTTATAGGGAACGTTTAGCAACTGTTCACAAACAAGTAATATGCTTATATTTAATGTATTTTTTCTTTTTTGATATTAACATGTAAAAAATTATTATAAAATTGTTAAGTTATCAAAAATGAGTCAATTGTATTATTGTAAAAATTTATCACTAATAATTTTATTACAAATGTATATATTTTCTTTATAGGTTAAAACAGTTCTTGATTATCATGCCCAACTAGATACTATTAATCGTAGAATAGCTCAAAAACACATGGTACAGTGGATTACGATGAATGTATTAAAAGCTATTACAGCTGAGCAAGAGAAAG